GTTTCTTTTCTCAATTTTATAAATAACTAGCTGCAAGGACCCGCTTCGCTGGGCAAAAAGTAACGATAGTGAAGATTAAGATAATTACATTATAGCCAATCTTACCCGTTTTCACAGAATGCAAGAATTAGGTCCCCCGTTTCCAGACTAATTAGAGAATTTTTACATGTGTCTAAAAATATGTTCGATTTCCCGCAAAAACGCAAAAAACCGCCTGTAAATCTTGCATGCCGCTTTATATTAACACTTCCTTTGTTACTCAACACTTCACTTGTCAACACTTCCACTGTTAACACTTCTATTGTTGACACTTCGATTGTTACATATCTTTGAAGTCAACCACTTTCATCCCCATATCTCCCACACCCTTATAGCACAGAATGCAAGAATTAGGTCCCCCGTTTCCAGACTAATTAGAGAATTTTTACACCCAGTCAAACGAACTATTTTCAATTTGATCAATTTCTATAATCGAACCAATTCGAATTTAAAACGGTTCGAACATTTTTAAAATCGAAATAGAAAATCTTCGAAGTCAACCATTTTAAGTCCCCATATCTCCCGCACCCTTATAGCTATCGAGACGCAACCACCATAGTGCACGAATGGAGACTTGGGGCTACTACCACAGACAAACACCATTCACGTGCGGTGTGTAGTTTTGGCTGAAAAGTGAAATATAGAAACACACACGTCCATTTATATATATATAGATAATAGTGTTTATCAATTTTACAAAATGGTGCAAAAACTACATATTTTAACAGGCCTATTACAGACAGTGTATGCACCAGAGTCAAAAAACTAACATTAATTTTGAATGGAATGATGGTAATAAATACAATATTCTGTATGAAAAATTACTAAATAATTACTATTGTTTTTTGTTTCTTTTCTCAATTTTATAAATAATAATAGTGTGTTTATCAATTTTACAGAATGGTGCAAAAATTACATATTTTAACAGGCCTATAACAGACAGTGTGTGCACCAGAGTCAAAAAACTAACATTAATTTTGAATGGAATGATGGTAATAANTTAATATAATTCTAATTTTATTTCTTTTAATAACAAATAAAATGTCAAATGCACGTAAATGTACACATTGTCCTGCAAAAATTACTGGCGTTTTAAACTTTAAGGAAAAATCTTGTAAAATCGACAACATAATTTGTTCACGTCTGGACAATTGGGAACCTTTTTTTGTCAATTCTTAACGGTCGAATTCACTCTTCGTCAATTACACTTACGAGTTTCTTCGAATTTCCAAATAATCATCTGTTTTTCATGTGGAAATGAATTAAAACTTATATCGGGCTCCCATGTAATTTTGGAATTCAATTCAAAAGCTTTGCTTTTTCTATTACTATATATCTTTACTCCTGACAATACATAAGAACAATTCAAATGACCCATATAAAATACTTTTGTTTTTAAACACCAGAAGGTGAGAATCCGGTAAAATATACAAATACGTAGTTTACAAAATTTATACAAAAACAAAAAGAATCCTTCGCTTGTGCGTATAGAATGACCTAGGTTTTTGAAGCAGTGAAAAATAGATAAAAACCTCGTCTTATATGTGAGTAAATACGATAAGTTTTTTAAGACGTAATTAAAAATCATATCAAAATTAAATTATTCCGTTTTACCAAAATTATATTTTTATTTAAATTTTATGCTTTTTTTTTAAGTTATTTTATTTATCAGTTCAATTAATAGAAAACACAATTGAAATAATTCTGTTATTTATAATTAATACTTAATTTGATTAAAAACAAAAACACTAAGAGCGATTTTTAGAAAGTTCTTTCTTATTAACAAAAGTTTCAGATGACTTCTTAATTTAAAAACCTGAATTTAATTACAAATAAACATTTGAGAATTTTTTAAAAATGTTCAGATTATTTTTCTAAAATCAAACAATTAAATTTTTAAAACGAATGAATATTTAAATTTATTTGTTTCGAGAGTTTCAAAATTTTAAAATGTTGCCCAAAAGTCTAGATTACGTAAGCACAATGACAAACATTTTTTAAAAATACTTTTTTTTTTATTCTTGTAGACATCATATCTTACTACCATTCATAATCAGGCTAAATTTAAAATCATATTAAACAGAAATTAAACATAAAAAATATAAATGAAAAGAGATTAGACTTCGATTAACATGTCTAACCTACCAAATTAGAGAAAACCAAAATGTTATCGAGATTACAAGCTACCGACAATAGCGAGGTTACGGCCGAAGTCTTCGTCTCTCAAACGTGAATCGAACGTCGAGTGCCGCTATCTTGTAAGCGGCGCTCGACGTTCACGAAAACTTCAGCCGCAACCTCTCTAATAAAGATTTTTTGATTGCTAGNTGTTTGGTTTATATACATATATATTTATATTTATATATTACATTAATACATATTAATAACAAATATATTAGTATATGCTTTAAGAAAATAAAACTACTAATGAAATTTAAGGAGTCACCATTTATTCTGATTACATTTTTTTTCAGGATGATTTACATATCAGATTCAACATATTAGATGTATTCATACATCTAATATGTTTGAGCTGAGGGTTTGTGTCATTTAATATTAACAACGGATTCAATAGTATCAAAAGTATTGATATACGTTGTTATTTCATTATCAAAATATTGCTTTTGATAGTTGCAAAATTTTTAATTATATTATTATAAAAGATAAACCTATCAAATGGTTAGGATAAACACTTGATTATAAAAGACCTTGTTTATCCTAATGTAATGGGCAGCCATTATATTGAAATAAAAATTCACGGTGTTCACCAAAACAGGGATTTTTTTTGCTTATAATGGCTAGCGATTAAAGGCAAGCAAGTACAGTAGTAAAATTTAATAGAAAGCTGCTTCATTCTAAAGAATTTTTCCATTTTAGACAGACTTTACTGAATTTATTATTTCATATTTATAAACGTAAAATCTTAAATTATTTACCTTTTTAGAAAATATATGTTGTAATGAAAATACTAATGTTGCTATCAAGGCACTCTAATTATGTAACCTATACACATTAATTAACATTTGCTATAGATAATATATGCAAATGTAAATTATATAATAGCTTACTAATATACAAATCTATATTTTATAGTTAAGAAAAGTAAATAAGCTTACAAAAGTTTCATCATTCATCATTTTCCTGACATCGACAATAAGCCAAATTGGAATAAAAAAGAAAAGAGCCAAACGAGCTAATAAATGGAGAAGTTTAAAATGATGAATTCCTGTCTCATTTAATGCCTGAAATAAAAATATCATCATCATCGTCACTGCAACATAAAATGCAAAAATTATTGAGATTTTTCAAAATAAGATTAATTTCCTTATAAATATACTTATATAAAATTTATCATAGACTAAAATTATTTCTTGAATTTATTGCAAATTTAATTATTATTTTCCAATTGTTCTAATAATATATTTATCAACTTGTTAAACAGAAATTTTATGATAGGAATAAGCTGTTAACTTATATATCTTGTAATTCCTTAACCGTATCGCAAACGTTTGTGCAATGTGTGTGCACTCTTCTTATCCAAGATCGAAATACCGCCATTTTAATATGCTCCAGATCAGCCGAATTCTTAGGGATAATGATGGGGATAGATGTCCGAACCAACATTTATCGTAAACCGACATCTATCCCCATCATTATCCCTAAGAATTCGGCGGATCCAGAGCATATTAAAATGGCGGTATTTCGATCTTGGATAATAAGAGCGCACACACATTGCACAAACTTATATATCATGTATAAAAAGCAAGTACCATATTTACTCAAATATAAGACGAAGTGTGACTTTAAAGATCAAAATAAAGAAAATTAGATTTATTAATATAATCTAATTTTATTTTATTTAATAACAAATAAAATATTAAATGCACATAAATGCACGCATTGTCCTGCAAAACTTACTGGCATTTTAAACTTCAATGAAAANTAAAAAAGGACTGTTGAAAAGATCGGAGTAATTTTTATTATATTCATTGCTTTAAAGTGGTTTTTCTTTTAAAAAGTTTTTAAAAAATTATATATAAATATATCTTTTTAAGTATTTACTTATTTAAGTTATTTTATTGTATTTTATTTTTGTTACAATTTAAAATGCTTGGAATTCCCAGAACTTATGTTCTATTTTCTTTTGCCAGTTGCGTCACTCAAACCTCAAGCAAGCCTTCGCTTCCAGATGTATCTAAATTTAGATACATCTGGAAGCTTGTTTGGGGTCCAGGTAGCACAACTAGCAAGCGGAGGTTGAAATTCTATTTTCTTTCATTGTAAATTGTTAAATTTATAACATTTGGAGGAATGTGGTGTATTTTTAAATCTGACAATAATCTTTCAATAAGATCAAAAATATTAGTTACTAAAAAATTCTTTCTGCTCAAAAGGTTGTGAATGACTTAGTTATTGCCTATTAAAACACAAAGAACATCTGTAATTTTTCATTTCTACAGGAAAATAAATAAAATATTTTCCACTATGGAATATTTCATACTACTGCTGTGGGTTGTTAGTGCTGTGTTGTATGAGATAACATGTGGTTGTCTTTGTTTCTAATTGTGACACAGTGAAAAGAACATATCGTCTTCAGAAATCTGTCACTTACAATCACCAGGAACCAAAAAATAAGAGTTTTAATCCACAAAAATAACACTTTGATTACAGACTATTCTTCTATAAAATATGCACAACAGTTAAAAATGTCCCTTCAATATAATTTCTATTCATAAATTCTATTGGCCATTTTTAATCAACTATTTGTTTTAATTCTTGGCATCATTCACCAGTGAACATTTAACTGTTTTGCATATTTTACAAAGCTATAGCTTCTAATAAAAAGTTATCTTTGTAAATTAAAACTTTGTTTGTTCCTGGTGATTATGAATGACAAACTATAAAGACAATTTTTTTTATTTCTTCAATATAGTTTTAATATGTAAATATTATCAGCCATTTTTAATCAAATATAATTACTTTTTAAAGCATAATTTTATAAGAATAAATTAATAAACTTTAAATAAAAATTTAAAATATGATGGTAACCTAGATCACCAGTCCTTTTGATCCACGAAAGTTGATCGAATCTGACTATAAACTGATGAAGTCTGTTATATACAGTAATGAAATAAGCCAAAAAGTGTTATGTAATTGCAATATTTTCTTAAAAATTACCCCTTGAAAATGCGAGAAATTCATAGTATTATTCGTCCTGTAAATAAAAATAGTATTAAGCATAGTGTTATTAATTTGATTAAAGGAGAAAGCTGACGTAATTACTGATATCTTGGTCAACAACTAAGATGCCTATTATAAGATTTCAAAGACAATTTTGTTTCTCTCAGATTATATTTTTAAATAATAAATTATAATTCAATTTCTAATAAATCATTCTAGAATGTTAGAATAAACAGATTAGTTTTGTAGAAAATTTATACTGTATCAAATATTTAATAATGAATTGAAATTTACCAGATAATTATTTGGTTATTAAAATATTTAACAATTTAAATAGTTTAGTATCCCAGAAAGAAATGTTGTCATCTGTTGATAATTTTTTAATTAGATAATTTAGAACAAATAATTAAATTACAATGTTTATCCGAAAGTTGATTGCTTGAAAATCAATTGCTAAGTAATGATTATTACACCTTCTGATAATTTGGATTAATAGTTATAAAGGATGCTTTAGATCATGGGTGTCGAGCTGGTGGTCCTCAGTGCTCTAAAATTAAATAAAACAGCTTACAGGATAAAATGTAATGGCAAAAAATGTTATTATTAAAATGTAAAATGATACAGAAACAAATAAAAAATGCATAAAAACTTGTTATTCTTTCTAAATAGACGAGAAAATATTTTCCAAATTTTAAATAAAAACATAATTTTTAATATTATGTTTAATAAATTTTTCACCATTTAATTTTATATTCAATAATTTTAAAGATAAGAGATTTATTTTTAATACTTTTGTTTAGAGGTATATATTAAATTTAATTAAATTAACATTTTGACAGATAAGCTTAACCACAATGAATTTACAAATCAACAGTGACAAGCTCATTCATCAGTTGAACTTTATACTTTTGCTTTAAATTTCATGGATAAAGTTACTTCAAATCAGATAATTTAGAATTTGCGGCTGTAACCGATTCTCTTCAAAAGAATGCTTGTACATATTGTAGTATTTTTAAGAAAATTATCTGATAACTAACTGTATTCCATTATAATTATCAATTATAACTTACCGGTACGAAGAAAGATCCAAACCTAAAAGTGATATATAAACTAATTTCATTCTTTTGAAAAAAATTTAAAACATTAAAGTTGAATATATCAAAATACTGTATAACGAGTAAAACATACTTTAACAAATATTTGCAATTTCTCGATTTATTGCTTATTTAATGTCACTCGGTGATTTTTCATTTCACGTACGGAATAAATCTCGTAAAAATATTAAAATATATATAACAAACAATTAAAAATATTATAGAAAATGTTATGATTTTAAGTTAATATATTAAGTAATAAATTTCTCCAAATTTCTTTATGAAAGTATTTGTAACAATTTCATATCGTAAGTCTAAGAAACATAAAAAAAAAAAAAAATGTATTATTTATAAGCCACACAACAGGTACCGGTACAATAATTTTTAAAGTTATCAAATTATATTAAAACAAAATTTAAATTATTTCAAATATTTTGCGACCGTGCCCGCATCATAATCAAATTACAAGTATCGGTTGTTATCCTCGTCCTAGAAACCTATATTTAAAACTCCACCGAAACATAATATTTGTTCCATGTTTATATTTATATGTAATGTACCGGTACATACATACACACACACACACACATATGTATTAACGGTAGAAGTTACTTTTAAGTAATTTGTATGTAATTATGTATACATAAAAGTATCTAAAAGTAAAATCTACCGAATTAGTAAGGTGTAAAGAATTATTATTGTAAAATATTAAAATTATTTAATTAATTTTTATTTGACTTACCCGTATGAGCGTAAGAAACTGGTACCTTCCATATACTAATATGAGAAGAAACGGAAGAAAAGAATTTAGCACAAGCTAACGGTACGATAAATTTAATGTAATGATTCCAGGTGATGGACACGTGGTGGGTTTGGATTCCGGTCAACGCTATCATCGGACCGCAACCGACGGTGACAGTTAATAATTGAACCATAGTTACCGTCATCGGATAAGGCAAGTCGTTCAATACCGTTTTACCAATTACTCCGTTACCGCTACTTACTGCATACCATATAACACATAAAACTATAACATGACATATTTCTTTAAAGGTCCCACCATCGGCCATGATACGATGACTGACGCGTGGCGACGCCACGAATACAAAATGTCATCGATACTACGGCGACGGCGACGATATAATTCTTAAATTTATTATTATTTTTTTTTACAAATTAATTGTATATTCCTTATTTAAAATTTCTAAAATCTCCAGAAATTAAATACTACAGTATAAGAGAGTGGAATATTTTCCCCGCGTTTCTTTATGCAGCGAGAGTGTAGCGAAATCAAGTCACGAGCAGTGTTGGCCAATTAGAAACCAGTTTCAGTGTGTTCGCTGTAAAGCGCTTCTCGAGCGCTGCATAAAGAAACGCGGGGTTTATTTTTATATTTTTGAACCCTGCTTAAAAGCAATACAATGGGCACGCCGGATGGCCCAAGCGGAAAAGGCACCGTCTGCAATTTTGGGGTCTTTTTGACTCTGTAATGGGCTTACTTAATGGGCTGGGTAAACAGTGCCTTTATTGAGTAATACTTATAAAGGTATTGTATATCGCTTAATTCAGTTTCCGATTTGACATAAGAAAACAATAGCAATTGTTTCGTATGATGATAGCAGTCGAACGGGGAAAAAAATACTGTAAATAAATTGGTAGTGTGACACGTACAAAGATACGCGAAATTGCAATTAGGAACAAATTTAGGGAATGTGCAGGGTGAGCTGCCAGTAGCGTGTTATATCTTCATGAGCCCCGAGCAAATTTGAATTGTGAAGCCCCATGTACAGTGCTGATTTCAGACATTTTTCTTCGGGAGAATTTTTTAGAAGTAATCCTTCAGTATACTATTGAATTCAACACTGCCAATGTCGAAAAAGAAAAGAAACTAAAGAACAATTTTAGATTTGTTTGTTTGTTTAATTAAGTTATGGCAACGCAACATTTGGGCTCTCTGACTAGGGGGAATGCCTTCCGGGAGGTGTTTTTAAAAATAACTGGCCCCTATTCGGGCGTTATAGACTTGGAGAAAACCCGGAAACTCCAGGTGGTCGGGCCGTCCTGGCCAGGCACGAACCCACCACCGAATTCCCAGCGTTCAGGGAAGGAACCCGCTGGACCGACAATTTTAGATAAAATTTCATTACATACAAAACAAAATTAGATATAAACTGTGGAATTTAATAGGAATTAAATGCAATTTCCAAGAAAAATTCATAAATAATTGAATTAGTATGTACTGTACATCATACTTTTCCTTTAACAATAGAGTTGTACCAGTAATCTATTAACTGTTTTCAGGAAAAGTTTTAAATTGAAGTAATGTGACTTTCTGCTTGCATCAGAAGTTCATATATAGTTAACTAAGACCTCCTTTCCCTATGGTTTCCATTTCTGTCTCCAAGTTCATCTATCTAACTCCGTTCTCGAGATTAATAAAGAAAGACGAACGGATGACAGTGGGTTTATAGGTCTACAATTTTTTCCAGATTGCAGCCCAGTGAAAATCGGATTAATCATTACTTCCAAAACCTTGCTTTTGCATTTCTTAAAACTTGTTGTTAAATATGTACAGTACTTTACTTTGATATTTAGTAATTGTAATTTTTCTTTATATTATTTTATTTGCTAAGTTTATTCTTTTAATATTTTGTAGACCGTACGATCTTGACAATATTGTTCATGCTGTTTCCTTCTTTTTTTTTTTAATGGAGAAAACTCTTTTATGAAGAAAAACCTTTATTTCATATAATGTGTTTGACCTATTCTCTTAGGAATGGTCCTTTTTAGTTTACAAATTAAAAAGAAAAGGTTCAAATAACAATAAATAACTACTCACCACACCACACTAACTTAAAAAATTACGCACATGGAACAAGTTTACGGTGTGGTAACATCGAAAAAAACAAACGTTTTTGAACCCCCTTCTGCACTCTGCATCAGGTTGTAACAGTTTTTAGATGGGAATTCGATTAACGAATGCCGTTTAACTAACAGTTCGATCTTGAGTTTGAAATGATTTACAAAAAATGTATGTTGTGTTAAATCGTTTCAAACTCTTAGTTAAACGGCATTCGTTAATCGAATTCCCGTCTAAAAACTATCAGAACCTGATGCAGAGTCCAGAAGGGGTTCAAAAACGTTCGTTTTTTCCATGTTATTACCTCACTGTAAATTGGTTCCGTGTGAGTAATTTTTCAAATAACAATTTTATATCTTTAAAAATTCATACACATACTTCACTTTTAATAAATATATAAAATACGACATTTTTACAAAGGTAAAAAACCTCGCTTCTGTCAATCTTTCCGCCGTTTCGTTTCTACACCATCAGCGATCCTTAAGACAATTCACAAAAATTTTCGAAGACGACCTTCCTTTTAAGGCTACTGCCTCCGCAAAAATATGCCTCAAATGGCTGCCCCTCTCTTTAAAAAAAAACAGATGAGATGAAATTTTTAATTAATTACAACAAAATACATAATTTATTTAGACTAGCGCTTAAATTTCAAATAATTGAAAAAAAAGAAACAGATTTTTAATCAAATTTAAAATTTTCTACCCATAACATCCTTCAAAAAATAATANTTAAAAAGAAAATTGCTAGAGTCCAGATGAGATGAAATTTTTAATTAATTACAACAAAATACATAATTTATTTAGACTAGCGCTTAAATTTCAAATAATTGGAAAAAAAGAAACAGATTTTTAATCAAATTTAAAATTTTCTACCCATAGCATCCTTCAAAATTAACTTCAAAAAATAATAATATACTGTAAAAATAGAAAATAATAGCTAAGGGCGCCCCTAGTGATCGTTTTTGGCAAAACGTGTCAGAAACCGGATTTCCGCTTATATATACAGTAGATAAACGCTTAATAACATTTTGTTAAATTGCCTGCTAATAGATGGCACTGCGTGTACTTTAGTTTAAGTATAGATACATCCAAAATCGTTATTATGTCCGAGGGCGCTGGTGGTTGGGTCACGAGCGCTCCGCTTGTTTTTGGCGTATGTTAAGCGAGCAGTCTGGGTTCGAACCACCAGTTGCCTTTTTTTCCCCCTCAAACGCTCCTGCATCAGGCTTACGTTGCAGCAATGCAGTCCTGGGTTCGCGCCTCCATTCGCCGCTTTTTTTTTCCTCTTTAAAATTTCATTCATCTCGGCAGTTACGTCCACACACGGCTAACTTACATAATATCGAACATCGTATTCCAAAATAACTATTGGGTTTCAGTTAATCAATTAATTTATATCCTCATCCGTAGTGTTCGTTTTAACGTAGCGCCATCTATTGGCAGGAAAGTTTTAACGAACCGATAAAAATAATTTTTATAAAAAAAAATATAACACTTTAAAATATATATATATATATATTATATTCACTTAATAACGTTTTGTTAAATCATTTTATTAAATTAAAAACATAAATCCGATATTTAAACAAAATACAAATTTTTATTTTGATTTTAAAATTAATGCAGGTGGCGCATAGTGACTTTACTTTATAATTAAAGATTAAAGGGACACAAAGAGCCCTTTGTCGTCTTTCATCGGCATCTTCTGTCTTCACTCAAGTGGGCCTTAAATAAGCGGTACACAGAACAACTCGTTCCAAATGCTGCAAGCATTTGACTTGAAGACCAACTTCAACTCATGTTTTGTGGAAGCATCAGCGACTGTTCCTAATCCATATTCGTTGAAGTTAGGCATCCCATTCCATACGAACCACATCGTTTATGATTTGCTTCGTTTCTAAGAAAAGACCATCAATTAAACTTCAACTTCCGGGTTGAGAATAGTCAAAACCGGAAATCTTGACGCACAGGAAAGGTGTAATCGAAGTACGAATGCAAAGGCAATCTCTACATAAAAACTTCTCCTTGCGTTAATATTCAAAGCTGCAAAGAGCAATGCTTTTGAAAGATCACATCAAGACGGAATGTGTCACCAAGCTAAAACAGTTTTAAATGTTCTGGATAATTTTTAAAACAATGCAATATTTGAAACTAATTATATTCCGACTTCATTAATTGTGATAATCAAGCAATTCGTTAAAAGCTTGAACGATGCGGTTTGTATGGAATGGATGCCTAACCTCGACGAATATGGATTAGGAGCAGTCGCTGATGCTTCCACAAAACATAACTTGAAGTTGGTCTTCAAACCGAATGCTTGCAGTATTTGGAACGAGTCGTGAAAAATCCCAGTTGGATTTTTCGTCTGGATTTTTCACACGAACTTCTGTTATTAGTAGCAACAGAATGTTTGGGAAATGTTTGTGTCGTGTCTTGCAACAGGATACGAACATTCCGTATTGCTCGAATCTTTCCCTAAACTTTTCTGAATAATATCACAAGAATTTGGAGCAAGTTTTGCACCTGTGAAGTAATAGCATCATTTAATGGCGGAGCAGAATGTTTTAGACGATGCTTGGAAAATCGTTCCGTCATATCATAAACGTCATAGTCGAATAATCTGAATCGCTATCCAGTGAATTGAAAACTTTCGCTGAGAAATGCCGATGATATACGAATTCCCTAGAATTCCCGAATCAGATGATATACGACTTGCGGGAGCACCCTTTTAATCTCTCATTCGGCAATGCTTCGTGGCAATTGTCCAATTCGTTTACGTTCTCCACACTACCTTCTACTGTACGTTATCGAAAGACTTTACTATTGAGAAGAAGTAAAGTAAACGAAGTCGATTCGGATTTCGAATATTGTCAATAACGACCATTACCTGTTGCATTCGCTTCCGTTGCCTCGAATATTTACTTGTACTCCTAATTATTACGGTAACAAATACCGGGCGAAAATGCCCGAAGGCGGGCTACAGGCTTATAAAACCTCGGGGGCGGTACCGCGGTCGACTGGCCGTGCGACGGGCCCGCTCCCACCTCACGGTCGAGGTGGAGCCGCGTGATGGGGCGCGCTGCATCTCTACGCGCTTTTTTTCAACACTGAGATGTGGAAAAAGCGAAAAAAGAATTCGGCCACGTGACGCCGACCCTTTTGGGCGCTTAGTCATGAGACCGGAAATAAAGTAGGCGCATCTTTAAAGGCCTATATCTCGCGAACAGTCCATGGTCCATTTGACTTTTATGCTCGCACAGGGGGTCTACAATTTGAGGTGTGCCAAAATCGCATCGTACTGTCCTAGAATCTTTCCTTCCCGTGATGCATCCTCCTCGGCACATCGCTCACGCATCGACATAACCAAATAAACGAAAACCAATTCTAACTTTTCTATAAACGCGATATTTACGAGGAAATGCTTAACTACCAGGAAACCGGGACATCCAGCCCCTCCACGGATATCATCTCCCCTTAATAACTTATAAACCCATTGCCTCAAATTTGGCTGTACTATAGATTACCACCTATGGAATTTCGGGGCTTTGAGTATATATTTGAGCTCAGGGACATGCTCAACGGTACTTTACTTTTGGACCAGAGACGAAAAATAAGAAAGTTATCATATTTACAATTTCTTGCCTTTCACGGTGCTGTTTTTTAATGGTTTGCAGACTTTACCACAGACTCGGTGAACATCGCGCATTGACTCACGGGAAATTCGTTGAAAAAATGGCGGAATCATTTGACAACGAATGTTCCCAGCGAAGGTAAATAAACAAATTAAACTATTTTAAAGTATTTATAAGATGTTTAATAACACTAAATAATTATTTTTAATTAGAGTGGTATCTCCTACCGTACGATCGGACTACCCTATACTTTTGTCGAGGGAAGTAGTGGTTTATATAAATTCGAAAGCGGCTCGGATAATTAATTTTTAGAAAATTTACAAACGTATTACGCTGTTGATGCTAGAAGATGCCGTGGAAGAACAAACCTACCTTAAGATAAGGCATATTATGAAAGCAAATACAGTCGACCTTCCCTATAAAACTTGATAATTCCGTTTTATATGAATTCCATGTTGTACGAGACACTTACATTTTACATATACGTGTGCCGGGCTGTGAACGGCTCACGTATTTGTAAAATTTAAGTGACTCTTACAACATGAAATTCATATAAAACGGAATTATCAACAGTGTTATAGGGGAGTCGACTGTATATGTAAATTCTACATCACTTGCTAAAAAATTGAATAATTAAATAATTTCTGGATTAAAATTGTGTTTCTTTACAATATTATTCGTAACTGCTTAAATAATCATTATTTTAATAAAATAGGTCATAATTTTAACCCCAAACACAAAAAAAAATGAATAAGTTTAAACCGATCGTCTACTCACCTTGCTAGACGTAGCGACCGCCATTATCGACCGTCCAGAACTGCCAGATGATGGCGCTCGACGATCCGCCGTTCATGTTTTGGGCTGAATACGACGGCCGCAACCTCTCTACTAATCTTAATATTTGTACTTATTTTTTGCCCGGGAAACGCCGGGCTTACCTACGTGTAAAGCCAGGTAGATGGAAATTAATTGATTTATAATATAAACCAGTAACGGCAATATTTAAAATTTTGATGGTGCCATTTATTATCATAATTTTATTTAAAAAGCTGTCTAAAATGCAGGAATTTAGACTCCCTAGGGTGCATATGCTTTTCGTTTCAGATGGATCGTCTTTGCCACATGATACAGATCGCTTCTGTCATGTGTTTTAGTTAGCGGAAAGTTTACAAGTAGGATCGAATCGCTCGCGACAAAATGGAAGAGTGCATGCCATACATTCTTGCTGTATAATCTCGCAAAATTCTCTCTTAATACTTATTTTTCATCTCAGTTTATCGGATATCTTAATAATGATGTTTTTACTTACCATTTATAACTTTTAAATATTTTTCGTTTCGACAGTTAAACATATTTCTTTGTTCTCAACTATAAGCTTGACTTTAACCACGGAGGCAGCCATCTTTAATCTTTTTTATTCCATCCAAACGATGTTGCTCTCCACTCGGATTAAAAACATAAAATCATTTAAGTTTAATGTGTGTTTTAATAAAAATAAATATTACAAGAAACATGTTTTCAATATGAATCTTTTTTCTTCTATAAATTTGAGAATTCCTGTCACATTCACAGACCTGCAGGGATCAATAGACCACACATTGTTGATAAATCTGCTACCGAATTATCCGATAAACCCGCATATAAAAATTTCTATTGTTCAGCTCTAGTGTGCAAACTTTTCAATGTTTTCAGATTAGGAAAGAATATAGCATCTGATATCATTCAATGAGGAAAGCAGTTAAGCGTCTCAGGATGGAAAAACTTGGTGGAAGGATGCCCAAATTAACTATACGAACTTCTGGTATAAACAGGAAGTCAGTTCAAAAATCTTCCCCTGGATGCAGTTAGATAGATGACCGGCATGACTCGATTGCTAACAGGAAAAGTATGATGTACAGTACTGTACAAGGGACAAGGCGCTACTAAAAATCTGAGAACATTGTCACGATGTCACAATAAATGTGCGCTATAATTTGGGAAAAATTTTGGGTCCTGAAAATATTCTGCAACCTGCTCGTAAGTTGCATCGTGTCGCATTACTTCATGCTGACTGCAGACAGCTACAATTCGTCAGCAATTATAATCAAGTCCACCGAGGAAACAAATTCCTTGACTTTTTCCAAACACTATTGAAAATCCCTGGCTTTCAACGTGGATAAGAACCCTGTTTATAGTAGACGATTTATGCAGATTCCTCCATACGTTAATACGTTATACGGAAAGTCTACTTCTTTCTTCAATTTTCTATTGAGGTAGCTTTTTTGGCATAAATCAACACTATTTACCTACATGCCCAGGACGGCCGTTTAGGTTTGGGACGGTCTTTTTTTAAAATCTCTTTTCTCTGTCATTGTATTACATCAAACCTTAGTAAATAGTTGTTGTTTTGTGTATATTACAACTTAAACAATACATTGCTTTCTTTATAAGTTACTGTTGCTGGGTGTCCGAATAAATATAAAACAGACCTTATTACAACTTCATTAACAACGCAATTGTATCCTGTAAATATATCATCGACGATCCGTCTACGTCACCGATACTTCACTCGTAACCGTCCTTCCTTGACGTTATCTTTAGTTAGAATACGATTGGCTAAAACACCGAATGCTTGAGCAATCTATAAATTCGTATCTTTAGTGATTTCTTCTAATAGACGCATAGAAAATTTCAAAATCCCGCTTTTATACGGAAAAATATATACAGTATTAACATAAACGTGCTTGGCCACTGGTAGGCACGCGTATTTCAGTTTCGACTATGTCTTGTCTCCTACCGACTTCAGCTGACGTCATCGAACGCTGTAGTATATTATTCTTCGCGCAAACAGTAACAGAAACGTGATGCAAGAAAAAAATGGGGAGCAGAAATTTAAAAAATATATATTTTAATCCTTTTTTAAGTCATATAAATGTAATGCATTTACACATGAGCATATAGGACAAAAAAAAAAAACAAACACAACTTCTATAGAAAAAGATGACAAGAAACATTTAAAAATTTATAAGTACACGATTTAATGCAATTTACATATGTACATGATCTACAAAATATGGATGAAATCTGTACAGATCGAATAGATTTTTTTCCTTTAAAACAAGCTACTTTATTTACATATTTACAAAGTGGGAATGCTTAAATACTAATTTTAAATCCGCGATTTTCCCTTACGTCAGCGTAAAAAAACAAACAAAAAAAATATCCCAAAAAATTGTTCCACATTCTTCTTCTTCTGAATTGAAATGCTTCACAGATTCTCCATTTTTTCGCATCACTACTTGACTTTTGCATCTCTTAAAACCTATTAAAAATCATTGATCATTGACTGCTATGGTTTATCCAATTCCAAACGTTAAAGATGGCAAACATGAGGTTGTGCCAGCAATTTTTACTTACCAAAAAAATTTTATATCTAATTTATAAAAATATATATATATTTATATACTTTCTCTTATGCAAATTACTAAATAATTACTATTGTTTTTTGTTTCTTTTCTCAATTTTATAAATAATAATAGTGTGTTTATCAATTTTACAGAATGGTGCAAAAATTACATATTTTAACAGGCCTATAACAGACAGTGTGTGCACCAGAGTCAAAAAACTAACATTAATTTTGAATGGAATGATGGTAATAAATACAATATTCTGTATGAAAAACTAATATATATATATATATATGTATATGTATATATTGAAGCTTCATAAATGCAAGNTCTCTATCTTATAGGGGGGGTCGACTGTAATTTACAAAATTAATTCTTGGCGCGGAGACGCGCGCACGGATCTGGAGACGCCGACCGCCGAAAGCACTGGCTTGGGAACGAACCGGACGAAATCGAATTTGACCGTTTTCTTGTCAAAATATAAAATTTCAAGTTTGAATTTTGTATGGTAATGGACAGCGTAAATGAAACAATGTGCCACATACAAAAATATAAAAAACTGACTTTGCATACGTCTAATACTTTCAAATTGGCCAAATATTACATAATAAATACTTCTTTCAGGTTAACATAATTCTCCAATAAAATTTAAATTAACACTAAAATCATATATTTAAAAAAAAAATAAATAAATTAGTGGTGTATATATAAATGATATTTATAAAGAAAAAATATATATATTAAAATTAGCATTACAGAAAATTTCATAAAAATTACAAAAATTTCCTGTGTTGTCTAAGCGTAAAATTAAGAACATAACGGAGACAATGAGATTGCCTGCGTTGATTTTTTTCAACAATTTATATTGCAGCGAATTCCAAAATGATACACAAGTATTTTTGTTTCGTTTTAACAGTTGGACAGACATTTTATCAATATGAGTGTAATGAGATCACAGATTATCATTTAACAAATCTGTTTTTGTGATATTAAAGCCGGTTTTACCAATGAAATTTTTGAAGCAAAAATGGTTTAGCCAAAAATATCAATTTACACTTAATAATATATGTGACACGATCTATAAAAAAAGTCCCTTAAGTTGGAAAACTGTTTTCATTTTTGAGTGTATCCTATTCTACAAAATAAGAGAATGTTTACATCCAAATCTCACCAAACATTACTAGAAACACTTGGTGCTGAAACCTAAAAATTGACCGTTTCGACTGTCTTTAGTACTACCTTAAGATACCTTTTTCACAGATCGTATCACTTATCAAGAATTCTAACATACATTACAAGAGGTAAAAATATCTACTCATTCAATGTAAAATGCCAAGGAAAATTCTATATAAACACCATTGTATGAGCCAAAGATAAATTAAAATTTACATAAAAAATTAGGCTCACTACATATTAAATGGACATCTGTTAAATTTGTTTAATATGTTAAATACAATTTTAACTAATGATATTTTTATAAACAACAAACACAATTACTATTAATCAGAGTAATTCACTCAACAAATTTAACACTTGATTCTAATATGAAAAAATAGGAAGAGGAGAAAGACTTTATAACTAATGTTCAGATCACACTCAGATTAATGATGTTCCATAATTTTAAAAATGTTTCAAGATAAAAACTTTCCTTACTGAACACCAATTCAATCACACATTACAGGAAAAATGTTTTATCCAACAAGATACTAAAAATACAATCTCAATAAATAAGGAAAACAAAATGATTCTACAGCTAAAAATTATTTTTAGTATTATACTATTATACATAAATGTAGTTGTAGTATTCAAAACAAAAAAATATATATATATAATTGCATGGGAAAGTTTTATCAGTCTAGACTGGGGGTACCAAAGTGACATGTCAAAAAATCCATCTAGCATGCAATGTATTATATGACTCTGACTGAGAAAATACACAGTAAAAAGTAAACAATTTGCTTTAATTTATTTTAAGTATATTCCCTTTTCTTCTAAAAGAACAGTTCTCCAAAACTCTAAAAGTTTTGGCGCCCACAAAATATGTTATAAAGCTAAATATGCCTATCTGGCATGCAGATTAATAAAAGAGTTAAAAGTGAACCCTGGTTACAATGTGGCATATGTTGCCACTTTGGCTCACATGACTTCAGGAAAGCTGGAAGCAGTAAGCTTTGTATTATATGACATGCAATTTCACTCTTGAGGAGTGTAACATCACAAAGGAATGCACATAGCTACATGTAAGTCTGCAAGTCTGGTGTGGTGTCATCATCATTGCAATTGGACCATTGAATGGCATTAGATACTGGTTACAGATGAATCTTGCTTCTATCTGTGGAGGAATGACTGCTGTGGACAGGTGTGACAGTATTCCAGGAAACTTTACATGCCAGCTCTTTTTGCAGAACATCATGGTTTCAGGAGATATCACATTCAATCAGTGGACAGCCTGGTGCACATTTCCAGTACTCTGACAAATGTCACATAAATTGTTGGGTCTTTAGTTTGGTCACTGGTGCAGACTGCACCCAACACAGTGTTCTAGTAAGACAATGCCTGACTGCATGTTGCAAAGCAAATTCTCATTGGCCTCAACAGAATTCATATCCTTTCCTGGTAAGCAGCATCGTCAGATCTCTCTCTCATTGAAAAAACATGGGATCTCATCTGATGTGATGTGCACCAGGGACCACTGCCATATACCATAGACAACATGCATGCCAAACTGGACACAGCTTGGCAAGGGATACCTCAGGCAACCATTAATTGCCTCATTGATAGTATGCCTGGTCATATAGCAGCCTGTGGAAGCCATATTCATTACTGAATTAACAGGTGTCTGTTGCATATCTTTGTACTTTTAATCATTTGCATATATCTATTACTTCTACCAGTCCTGCAATGTGAATATGGCTATGTGCATTCCTTCATGGTGTTGTGTTTCCACTTTTAAAGAGTGTAATAAAATTGTTATCAAATTCACTGAATCACAGCATTGGTTTATATTGCCAAACTCGTTAAGGATTTAACCCATTATCTCCCATTGTCCTATACGTAGGACAGCTATCTATATATATATGCTGCACCAAAGCAATCACGTTATCCATGATGCATTCAGAATAGACTCTAGGTTGCATGGTATAGTATCTCATAGGAAATGACCAGATGTCACATGGCATGTGGGTGGTGTTTAATGATTTCAGGCTTTAGAGGCAACTTTTGGTGGTGGCAAGTCTAGATGTGTTGTACTTGTTTGTAGTGACAAAGACACTGAGGCCATGTAAGTAATCTATCCAAATGCCCATTTGCTAATCTTTGTTCCATTCACAAGGACAGGAACAAAATGGCGCATCATTTTCCACTGTCCTAAAAATAGGACATCGAGATGATGTAGTGTATATACTGTCTACACCAAATTGAGCCTATTACCCCATGTTCTTAGTTGAAGCATGTCAAAAAAAAGTATCTAATGTAAGATACTTTTTTTGACATGCTTCAACTAAGAGGAAATAAGAGAACTTGTTGAAGAGTTTGAGGATAAATATTCAGAAACTAATGTCTGTGTGCTATTGCCAGATGCCAATGAATTGTCAGACAAAGATGACGATGACATTGCTAATGCTGGGGATGTACTTGTTTCTGATGTTCCCAGAGAGTTAAGAGTTGATTGTTTTGTGCCATTTCATGATGTCAAGCAATGAGTAAAGGGGCAGAAAAAATAACTGTGAAAATGCCCAATTTTATCTCTAATGACAATTCCCGTGGGTGGTGTCAATCATCATAATTGGCTTGTTTCAAAGTACAGTGTTTCTATTTGTGAAAAGAAATGGTACTGGCCTGTTTACTCACTGTGTTGACATGGCAGTAGTGACTGCATGGATTCTGCACAAAATTATCCACGACAAAATGCAATGTCTCTGAAGGACTTCAGACGAGTAATTGCCACAGTTTTTTCAAAATAACCATACCTCAGAAGTATTCAGGAACACCCAGAGTACAACTTATCAGTGGGAGCTGACATTTCTTGATGCAGAGAGACAAACAGAAAAGCTGCCAGCATCAAGGATGCAAAAGCAAGCCTATAACATATTGTGAGAAATACAATGCAACTCCGGCATACTTGTTTTGAGCCATTTCATAATCTATAGTGGCATCATTTGGACTATGACTCATTTTATACTTGGTCCTTTCATGTACAGAAAATATAATGAACAATAGTTATGTTCTTATAGTTTTGCAATCAGGCTTTTTTATATCACATTATCCCAGTGTCCTATTTAGAGGACAGGCTGTATCTACATATTTACACAGTCTAATATGTCTTTTTGTGTTCCAAGGACCAACTTCTCCAACAGAAACAAAATTCCTTGCAAAAAATAATTTGGGAGATAATGGGTTAAGAGCAAGAATTTAACTTTCTGGCTCATATTTCTTCTTACTGTGAAGACTTCACTTTCTAATAAATCAAACTCCTGTAAAATTTACTACAGTTATTACTAAATTCATGTTTCTATAGTAATTCTATACAAATAATAATTCTATAGAATAATTAATATTATATAATAATTCTATAGTAATTCTGACAATTTAACAATAGTTAAACTAAAAATTAGTATATTACAATTGGTCATAAAACTCTGAATCAAGTGAATCACAATAAACTTATAGCTTAAATTTATCCAAATTGTGGTAAAAATCAGAAAGTACTCATTCTTAAATCCAAAATTTTACATCAAATATTTAAAATAAAGAAAGCTAATGACAATCCAATTAACTTTTTATCATAAATTTATATAGAAAAGTATTAAGTCACTAAAATTATGCAGAAAACACAGTAGTTGACTACTGTGTACTTCTATGTACACAAATCTAAAATATTCAGAGGAAAACTACAAAGATTCTGAAAAACAAAACTTGAATTTGCTTGTATGTCAAATATTCTGTTTCATTCTACATATTTCTCAGTCAGGTCATTAAACAAAAGTGTTTTGTAAGTCTCGAAAGAAAGAAAACGTTACATTGTTGCTGACGTGTACTAGGTAGTTGCCCTACGAAAGTTGTGTCTGTATTAAACACAGACTTTTTCCCGTATCATTATTTCCTAAACAATACAATGTAACAGCTATTTTCACAGCATTGTATTAACTGTTATAAGTAGTCTAGAGATAATTTAAAGTATATGGGAAGACATGTATAGGTTATGTGTATTTATGAAGATCCCGAAACCAATCCCCCATAGATACAAAAGAACAATTGTATGGTCTAAACTAACAAAATTTAAAATGTAATTTCTATGTATTTAATCAAAATGAAATGAATGCAGAAGATTTTATTAATAATAATAAATGATGCAAACATCACTTATCATATAAAATATTTTAAGCGAAGAAATAACTATTTTATGATACAAAATATTGATAAAATGTAAAGATTTTAACATGTATTTAAGTTTAGCTCAATTAAATTAAAACTAGTACAGTGATTTGTCTCAAAAAGCAAATATTGATTCATTATGGCTTAAAATCAACATTCCTTCTTGTAGACTGACAAAAATAATTGTCATTTAACATGTCCAAGATGTTATGTAGTGATAAATGTCTAATGCTTGATATCTATTACACCATAAATTTAAAAAAATTTTAATATCTATAAATCAATTAGTTAAGTATTTCCCTTTGTATTAAATTGTAAATTTACCAGCAAATCACTGTAGTCGGCTATGCTTACACATTTTAAACTGAATCTTTACATAAAAATTACTTATTACTGACTAACATTGGCCAAATCTGAACAAGAAGCAAATTAAAGCAATTACAATTCAAACTTTATTGGTAAAACCGGCTGCCAAAAAATGAAATGTATCCAAATTACAAAAGTAATGATTTGTTTTCCAGGGAAATCGGATAGAAATTTCGACAATAACCAATGAGAAAAGGCTTTATTTTTTTCTTTTATTCTTTATGGAAAACGTATTATAAATGAAACTATTACTTTTGTAAAAACTCAAAAGTATAAATCAATATCAGAAAATGTCAATGTCAAGATTAGTTTAAGTGGAACGTTTTTATAAATCACAGTGTTTCAAAGACAAACATCTGCAGAGTGCTTCTATGCTATAGTTTTTCTTACAAATACAAAAAAATTATCAATAAAACACGAATACAAATATTATTAATTTCAATCTAGAAAAATACCAAAAGTAAAAATAGTAAACAATTTTAAAAACATACATCACGATATTGAAAAAAAAATCTTTCAAAAATAAATCCATGTTAAAAATGTTTGTTGCATAGATCTCACTAAACTTCTTTATATATATACACACATTTCTCTCATAATAATGTACATACATATACAAATATTACAATTTCTAGTACTTAGAAAAATATTTAGTGTATATAGTATAATAAATATTCTATACAATTTAGCTGGAGATATGTACAATTCTATATACAGACAGGACAGCTTTTCTTGCATAAATTTACATCAATATAACAGACATACAGTAAGTACATAAAAATAATCACTAGATTTGTTTTTCAATTGAAAATTTACCTGATTCTCACCGTTTCCTGTGCAAGTGAGATCTTTTTTCTTTTCTCCCTGATTTCTTCTCCGACGACTTTTTCTTGTGTTCTGTGACGGAATTTTCTTTGTGGTGTTTGCTGTGGTATCGGTCGTCGTCAGAGCGGGAAAAGGTGACCCTCCTCTGTTTCTCGCAGTCGGAAGTAGAGCATTTGATAACTTTGATCCTTTTCTCCTTGTGGTGATCTTCGGACGGTGAAGAACTGCTATTTCTTTTCGAGCTCTTATGTATATTCTTAACAGAGACTCCTAATCTCATGTAGATGGGTAATTTTCTTGCTTCTTCCGTGGATGATGCTACAAGTTTGACAATTGGAGAGACAGATCAACATACAACATATTTATGACAAATTAGATATTTTGATTAAATTTTAACAATTTACATAAGTATATTATGATTTTAAAAATACATTATACAATTTTCTATATTAAACAATTAGTGTTTAGAACTTCATAAAAAATTTATACCTTAAAAATATGAGGATTCATTTAAAGAAATCCTTTTACTATCCACATTTAATGAAATTATTTCGATAAACTCAATTTGAGACTGTTTTGTACCTCTCAATTATCTGGTTAATACTCTAGAAAATTATTTTCTGGTTCAAAAAAACTAGAAAATGTGTGGCACAATCATACCTCTAATATTGATATATACATGACACAGTCTAGAGGCATTTCCAGTTTCCTGGAGTGTGATGTTGCAATGTGAATTGTATTTGTTAAATATTTATATGGATATTTAGGAATAATAAAAACAAAAATTATTTTAAATTAAGCACATTAATTGGCTATGAATGAGACAGATACTTTAGTAAAAAACATTAATATAATGTAAAAAATTACTTAAGATAATTGGAAAAGTATATTTCAAAATAGAATCTACACTGTAATGGAACCAGAAATGCTGACATTATTGTCAAGAATAGGAATCAGTTTTGTCCCAACTATATCAAACAACTATACACAAAAAACAAAAAGTAATTGTGAAAATATTTAATAAATATATAACTACCATCAAGATATATGCAGATTACAACAATCTTTAAAATAAAAAATGTGTTATAAATACTTTTACCTTATTTCTGAATGGAGTTTCCCTGATGATAGATTAATTTTTACCCCACTGCCCCTTTTCTGTGGTATTTTGTGAATAATCAAGTGTATCATACATATGTGCATAACTTGAATGATCTAAGAGACAAAATCTGTCAGGATACTGACATCACCACACCTCACATGCTATTGAATATGTGGTTGAAGTGGAATGTAAGTTGGATATCTGCTATGCCATTGTTCGTACATATATTGAAATGTGCTTGGGTGTAAAAAATCTGCAAAAGTTTTTATACTAGAAAACAACCACTTTTTCATTAAATTATATAAGTTTTCAATTTATATTATTTTCTTTTATTAAACCTCTATGCCTGACACATTGTATTTATATTAATAATACTATTTACTATAATAGTGTAGGTTTCTCTGTATCTAATTGTTTTTATCATTTCATAGTTTATGACTCTGAAACCATTAAATTTCCTTTCCAGCAAAATAATATACTATGGTGCCTTGTACTTCAATTCCAAGAGATTGTTCAAACTCCAAATTGTTCTAAGTATGAATCAATTTTTCCATTAGAAATAATGAAAAATGAATTAATCCATTCCCAGACCCTGAACAATAACCATTTCAATAAACTTAAAAAAGCAAATACACATAATTTAAGGTAAAAACAACACAATTAAATGCTCTAATAATAAAGCAATTAAATTAAAACTAGTACAGTGATTTGTCTCAAAAAGCAAATATTGATTCATTATGGCTTAAAATCAACATTCCTTCTTGTAGACTGACAAAAATNATGAAAAATGAATTAATCCATTCCCAGACCCTGAACAATAACCATTTCAATAAACTTAAAAAAGCAAATACACATAGTTTAAAGTAAAAATATCACAATTAATTGCCTTAATAATAAACTAAAACACAAAAACTGTAAATAAAATACATAAATACTGTATAATAAAATAAAAACTGCATTTATTGGTCACACAGTGTGGACTTCAGCATCTTAACATTGATGTGTGATTTAATTATAACAGTTGTGAAATACAACATAATATAGATAATGTGAGAGTTTATCCTTAGTTTAAGAGTCTTACTTATTACTTAGAATTTTGTTGGAATAAAATCAAGTTGTAATGTCTTCGGATAAAAGGCATATCAGGCATATTGTTTTATGACTTTTGAATAGAATATAATGCTGTACAAACAGTAATATGTATGGGAAAGATGCTCCTAAATTTTGAACATGTCAAATGTGGTTTAATAAGTTCCATTCAGGAAATTTTGAACTATAAGCTACAAAACATACAGGCACCCAACAGCTATTGACAAAGAAAAGTTTCAGGAAGAAATTGTTAAAAATTGACAAACAACACACAGTATAGTATTATATATACTGTACTGTGTGTTGTATATACTATAATACAGTATTATACATACTGTAGTATAATACAGTATTATACATACTGTATTATATACAACCAAACATCAAAAATAAAGCAAAAAAAGTACTAAAAACATGCAAACATAATGCAAGAGCCAGATGACTTTAACACACAATAGATTGCATTTATACTTTGAGCACTTTATATCACTTTATATTCCATCTTCAAGGCAAATTTTTGTCAAATTTTGCATTTGAACTCAGAATCATTTGAAATATGAGGTACCACAGTAGACATATAGAAGTTTTGGTGTAAGGAGTAGTGAGTGATAGTTACATCATTCTAGTGCTGAAGGTATATGTTTCTGATTCTGATAAAAAATCACTTATTCTACAATTCTTTAACGATGTCAAAGAGTATTTGTTTTTTTTTGTATTATAATTTTTCACTTTCAATAAATTGATGAAGAAAAATCTAATATGAGTAATTGCTTATAGACAGAATACAGAAGTTTTGTTATTTCAGTTCCTAATAATTCACCTATTGAAGTAATTTCTTTAACAAATCCTCATAATTTAACAATATTTTCCTATTCCTAAAGCCCAAAAATAGGTAAATTATATAGTATACAATCATTCAGATAACTAGTATTTAAAAGAGTATGTAACAATTTTTAAAAAAATTGTTGTATATAGTATAAAAATTGATAAATGCTTGAAAATTTTTTTTATAATCAAAACTTGAAAACTCAATCTAATTTGCCACCTTTTAACAAATTCCGAGTTTTAAATGACAAATTACAATCACTTAAACAGATATGTCTCAAGTGTATACCCGTTTGATTGTATAAAAGTATATGCAGTCATGCAATAATTTAAAAAATTTACACATAACATACTGGTACATAATTATTTTAAAACAACTTACCACACTTTTTGATGTCATCACTATTTTTTTCACTTCTTCTCGGAGATATTACACAGAAAACATCTCTCTGTGATTTATGAGTATCCCTTCTTCGCCTAGATATGATTGACTGATCTTTCTTGCTTCTACTTCTTCTTTCAGATCTTGATTTTCTTTCTGGTACTTGCTTTACAACACTTAGTACTGATTTCAATACGGGACTTGGACTTCTACTTCGACTTAAGCTTTTATGGCTTCTACTAGACAAAGAATTGACTGAAGGAGAACGAGACTTGTTATTGCAATTCAGTTGCATCCGTAAATCCCATCCAAGATACTTCGATTGAAATGAATCGTTTTTTGAACTGTTAAATGAAATCTCCTTCCTTTCTGATATTTTATCCCAATGATTTTTTAATGAGTCAGAATCACTTCCTTTTTCTTTTCTATGATCACCTACTTTTTCACTGCCACAATCATCTTTATGCACTGTTTTTGATAAACTTTCCTGATTATTTATATGTTCTCTCTTGTATATATCACTACAAATGTTCTCAGTGGATGGCTTCAAATCATCACTAAGTTTACATGAGCTAATTTCTTTATCATCACTGATTACTAATTGTTCCTCCACAATTTCTGTTTTGTTTTTGTCAGGTGAACTTATCACTACAATATTATCATCATTTCTTTCAGCAGAAATGTCTGTGTGTAGTTTGTCATCACAAGATGCCAATTTAAGATCATCTTCCAACTCTCCAGCCGAATTAGAAACAACACTCGAACAAAACAAATCTGTGTGTTGTTTTTTTATTTCAACAGACGAAAAATCACTTCCACGAAGAATCTCCTTTTCATCTGAGCATATAAAATCATCACTTCTATCATTTCTGTAGTCACTGCTGTCTGAATCACTATCAGAATAGGATTCTGATTCAAATCTACTGAATCTATTATAACCTGTTAAACAAAAATGAATTAATCAATATAACATATTAAAAATATTTTCACGTCAACATTAATAAGATGATTAAACTTTTACCTTTCGATTTAGAATAAACCATCTTCGGAGATGATGAATCATCATCACTGATCATCACATTTTTCATGTTCTTTGATATCAAGAGCTTTGACGTTGGAATTATTGAATTATTGTCATTTGTCGGTGTTACTATTGGCACTGGATTGATGACAATGAGATTGGAACGTTCTAAGTTTCTCTGTAATAAATCGAGAATTGCGTATGTTAAAATATTTTGTTTCATTTAGTTTAGTAAATATTGTAACCTACATGTATATTTGAATAAAAAAGCTCTCTGAGATTTTGGAATTGGAAGTTCAGACTTTAATCTATCTTGTTACCTTATTATAAGATTATTAGTAACCAATTTAGCTTTTGATATATTTTAAATAACAAAAATTATTTTAAATTAAGCACATTAATTGGCTATGAATGAGACAGATACTTTAGTAAAAAACATTAATATAATGTAAAAAATTACTTAAGATAATTGGAAAAGTATATTTCAAAATAGAATCTACACTGTAATGGAACCAGAAATGCTGATATTATTGTCAAGAATAAAAATCAGTTTTGTTCCAACTATATCAAACAACTATACACAAAAAACAAAAAGTAATTGTGAAAATATTTAATAAATATATAACTACCATCAAGATATATGCAGATTACAACAATCTTTAAAATAAAAAATGTGTTATAAATACTTTTACCTTATTTCTGAATGGAGTTTCCCTGATGATAGATTAATTTTTACCCCACTGCCCCTTTTCTGTGGTATTTTGTGAATAATCAAGTGTATCATACATATGTGCATAACTTGAATGATCTAAGAGACAAAATCTGTCAGGATACTGACATCACCACACCTCACATGCTATTGAATATGTGGTTGAAGTGGAATGTAAGTTGGATATCTGCTATGCCATTGTTCGTACATATATTGAAATGTGCTTGGGTGTAAAAAATCTGCAAAAGTTTTTATACTAGAAAACAACCACTTTTTCATTAAATTATATAAGTTTTCAATTTATATTATTTTCTTTTATTAAACCTCTATGCCTGACACATTGTATTTATATTAATAATACTATTTACTATAATAGTGTAGGTTTCTCTGTATCTAATTGTTTTTATCATTTCATAGTTTATGACTCTGAAACCATTAAATTTCCTTTCCAGCAAAATAATATACTATGGTGCCTTGTACTTCAATTCCAAGAGATTGTTCAAACTCCAAATTGTTCTAAGTATGAATCAATTTTTCCATTAGAAATAATGAAAAATGAATTAATCCATTCCCAGACCCTGAACAATAACCATTTCAATAAACTTAAAAAAGCAAATACACATAGTTTAAAGTAAAAATATCACAATTAATTGCCTTAATAATAAACTAAAACACAAAAACTGTAAATAAAATACATAAATACTGTATAATAAAATAAAAACTGCATTTATTGGTCACACAGTGTGGACTTCAGCATCTTAACATTGATGTGTGATTTAATTATAACAGTTGTGAAATACATAATAATATAGATAATGTGAGAGTTTATCCTTAGTTTAAGAGTCTTACTTATTACTTAGAATTTTGTTGGAATAAAATCAAGTTGTAATGTCTTTGGATAAAAGGCATATCAGGCATATTGTTTTATGACTTTTGAATAGAATATAATGCTGTACAAACAGTAATATGTATGGGAAAGATGCTCCTAAATTTTGAACATGTCAAATGTGGTTTAATAAGTTCCATTCAGGAAATTTTGAACTATAAGCTACAAAACATACAGGCACCCAACAGCTATTGACAAAGAAAAGTTTCAGGAAGAAATTGTTAAAAATTGACAAACAACACACAGTATAGTATTATATATACTGTACTGTGTGTTGTATATACTATAATACAGTATTATACATACTGTATTATATACAACCAAACATCAAAAATAAAGCAAAAAAAGTACTAAAAACATACAAACATAATGCAAGAGCCAGATGACTTTAACACACAATAGATTGCATTTATACTTTGAGCACTTTATATCACTTTATATTCCATCTTCAAGGCAAATTTTTGTCAAATTTTGCATTTGAACTCAGAATCATTTGAAATATGAGGTACCACAGTAGACATATAGAAGTTTTGGTGTAAGGAGTAGTGAGTGATAGTTACATCATTCTAGTGCTGAAGGTATATGTTTCTGATTCTGATAAAAAATCACTTATTCTACAATTCTTTAACGATGTCAAAGAGTATTTGTTTTTTTTTGTATTATAATTTTTCACTTTCAATAAATTGATGAAGAAAAATCTAATATGAGTAATTGCTTATAGACAGAATACAGAAGTTTTGTTATTTCAGTTCCTAATAATTCACCTATTGAAGTAATTTCTTTAACAAATCCTCATAATTTAACAATATTTTCCTATTCCTAAAGCCCAAAAATAGGTAAATTATATAGTATACAATCATTCAGATAACTAGTATTTAAAAGAGTATGTAACAATTTTTAAAAAAATTGTTGTATATAGTATAAAAATTGATAAATGCTTGAAAATTTTTTTTATAATCGAAACTTGAAAACTCAATCTAATTTGCCACCTTTTAACAAATTCCGAGTTTTAAATGACAAATTACAATCACTTAAACAGATATGTCTCAAGTGTATACCCGTTTGATTGTATAAAAGTATATGCAGTCATGCAATAATTTAAAAAATTTACACATAACATACTGGTACATAATTATTTTAAAACAACTTACCACACTTTTTGATGTCATCACTATTTTTTTCACTTCTTCTCGGAGATATTACACAGAAAACATCTCTCTGTGATTTATGAGTATCCCTTCTTCGCCTAGATATGATTGACTGATCTTTCTTGCTTCTACTTCTTCTTTCAGATCTTGATTTTCTTTCTGGTACTTGCTTTACAACACTTAGTACTGATTTCAATACGGGACTTGGACTTCTACTTCGACTTAAGCTTTTATGGCTTCTACTAGACAAAGAATTGACTGAAGGAGAACGAGACTTGTTATTGCAATTCAGTTGCATCCGTAAATCCCATCCAAGATACTTCGATTGAAATGAATCGTTTTTTGAACTGTTAAATGAAATCTCCTTCCTTTCTGATATTTTATCCCAATGATTTTTTAATGAGTCAGAATCACTTCCTTTTTCTTTTCTATGATCACCTACTTTTTCACTGCCACAATCATCTTTATGCACTGTTTTTGATAAACTTTCCTGATTATTTATATGTTCTCTCTTGTATATATCACTACAAATGTTCTCAGTGGATGGCTTCAAATCATCACTAAGTTTACATGAGCTAATTTCTTTATCATCACTGATTACTAATTGTTCCTCCACAATTTCTGTTTTGTTTTTGTCAGGTGAACTTATCACTACAATATTATCATCATTTCTTTCAGCAGAAATGTCTGTGTGTAGTTTGTCATCACAAGATGCCAATTTAAGATCATCTTCCAACTCTCCNAATTTTTAAATTCATTTTTGTTGTAAGCAGTTTCTAACAAACTTTAATAAACTTTTACTATTTGTGAAAATTTCTACATAACTCAAAAGTAATTTTTTATACATATTTTACACAGCATTATTATTATTATTTTGGAGATTGCAAGATGTACTGAGCAGAGCTGCAGAGTTGGTAAAAAAACACTTGACTCTGACTCCTGATAATTTTAGTAGGCCAACTCTGACTCCTGCAAAATTAAATACCAAGTCATTTTATGAGGGACAGAAGTGCTCATAAGGGGTACCCTACTCTGAACTCTGAAAGGAGTCTGTGGTATTTACCCAAATATTTTTATAGTTAGTATTTTTAATATTTAACTTACATTAATATTTATTTGTATAAAAAAATTAATTTTTAACAAATATTTAATAAGAGAAAAAAGGGGCGAAAAAATTCTACATCTACATATATTCGACAGCATTTTCACTTCAATTTCATCCTTCCAGAAGAGTTAGACCAATTAAAAAGTGTGCAATGTAGCTAGCTACTTCAGCCCTTGTTCAGAAAAGAAAAATACAGTGGAACCTCGATTATCCGGACCTCTATTATCTGGATTTTCGATTATCCGGATTGTTCAAAACAAACAAAAATTTTACGAATTTGCTGATTTGCACTTGGCAAATTATGACACTGTTTATGTACGTGATGGAATGCATAACATTTTTTGTTTCAACGTCTCACCCTGCACAGTGGTCGTAAACTCAAATATATTTTGCGTCGTAATAAAAGTATAACTTGACATACGTATTTATAAATAATTTATATTCAAATTACATCATTTCTATGACCAAGGGCGGCATAAGGCATGGGCAACGTGGGCCACCGCCTATGCCTCGTGGTCCGAAGGGCCTCGCACCTCGAAGGTTTATGCATCACTTAAAAGCCGAGAACGCGACGAAAAAATTTTACTCGTCATAAAACGATAAATAGTTTGTCAAATTTTTATTCATTAAAATGCAGTTTCAACTGCTTTTTATTTTATAAAATCCGTCTTCTTGAGCCGCCAGAGGGCCTTTTAAATAATAGCTAGTCTGTTAGCGCTGGTCAGTAGTAGTCCAAATTCAATACAAACGTTTGTTTCTTGAAAATTTGATCACAATTTAAATACAGTATTTATTTTTACTATTACCGATATGTCATCGAAAAGAAAACATGTTGTATTATCATTAAAAGACAAATTAAAGTATTTGTTTCAATTATCCGGATTTTTCCTTATCCGGATTACCTTCATCCCCAATTAGTCCGGATAATCGAGGTTCTACTGTATATACTCTGATCAATTAGTCTGGCTCATTCAGTAAATAGAGTACTTATTTAGAGCAGGGATAATAAAGAAATGATTCAAAAATATTCAAATTCAATTGAGTCAAAATAATTTTACTACTAAACACAAATACTACAAAGAACACTACATATTTAATAAATTAAATTGATGCATTTTGTATTTAAAATAAATGAATTATAACAAAATACAAAAAGATTTTAAAAAATTAATAAATATATAATAAATTTTGTTTCATTTAAATAAAAAAATTGAAGTAAATTTAAAATGCAGGAGTCGCAGTCGACACATTTTTTTCTGATTCAGACTCCGCTGGTCAGAAATTCCTCCTGACTCCGACTCCACAGCCCTGTTATTAAGTTACTTAAAAATGAAAAATAATTATATCATTCGAATTTAAGATTTATGTTGTATCTTAAAAATAATTAATTATATCCTGGGAAACAGTTATCTTTTCTCCTGAAATACTGTGACAAGCAAAATACCAGGAAACAAGAAACCCTACTGCTTATTGTTTAGAAATCTCTATATGTAGAAACCTGTATATCTTGAATTTTTTCTTGTTCCCATGAGATTCGACACAGACAGGTTCAACTGTATATATGTGTATATATATTATAATTTTTACATATTTTCTGTTAAAAACATAACTTATTTATTGTAATATAACTAAAGAAAGTGCTTTCTACAAGATACTGTATGACTCCATTAAGTTATGCAAGTGATTTCATAACATAACAAATTTCTTTATGTATCACAAAATATTCTTTGATACTTCTCTTTTTTGGAGAAATTGCTTCCCTATTGTATCAGAGGGAACAATTTATGCATAAAACATATCTGATATGTCCATTAGTTTTAGTTTTAAGCTTTAGTTAAGCATAGTTATAACATGGTATTTGAAACTATAAATGTATCACTTCACAGATAATTTAATTAATTTTGTAAGATACTTGTTTATAGTTTAATCCTAAGTATATATCAAGTAGAACAAAGAAAAATTTAATAATTAAAACTTGTTTCTAAGTATCATTCAATATTGTTTAATTTTATTTGATAATATTGTGTTAATATTAAATGATATAAGTTTTAAACAAAATTTCAGATACACTTCATTACTGAATTAGAGAAATATAGAATTAAGGCATACAAAAAAATATATATACCGTATTTACTCGCATATAGGATGAGGTGTGACTTTAAATATCAAAATAAAAAAAATTAGATTTATTAATACAATTCTAATTTTATTTTGTTTAATCACAATTAAAATATCAAACGAACGTAAATGCACACATCGTCCCGCAAAAATTATTGGCAATGTAAACTTTAAGGAAAAATCTTGTAAAATCGACAACATAATTTGTTCATGTAAAGCTGGACAATTGGGAACCATTTTTTGCCAACTCTTAACAGTTGACTCCACTAGGGTTTCTCATTTCCCGGTATTTTGCTTGTCCCGGGATCCTGGGATAAAAGTGAACTGTTTCCCGGGATCCCGGGATAGAATTAATTATTTTTAAGGTATACAAAATATCTTGAAATCAAATGATATAATTATTTTCCATTTTTTAAAGTAATTTTAAAGTTTTGTAACCTCCAAAATCATATTAATAATGCTGTGTTAGGTCTATAGGCCTATAATAAAAATTACCTTTAAATAACGTAGAAATTTTCACAAATAGAAAAAAATTAATTAAAGTTTGCTGGAAACTGCATACAACAACAACAA